ATTTTAAATTACGCAGATCAGCATGGTATGGACGCATGGTATGGACACATGGTATGAACTGACCAGATCCGCATGGTATGGGCGACCAGATCCGTATATAATTAGCATTAGGTTAGGAATCATAGCTGATTAGTCTGGTATGGTTTTTAATTTCGGCCTCTATAATCCCCGTCAGTATGAAGAATTATTAAGTAATCAGATCTACTGTCTAACCTAAAAAATTTCGCCGTTAGATTAGGGTTAGGTTTTGCTAATAAGTTAGGTTAGGAAGAACTTTAATAGTACCAAAATTTCACAAGGAAACCTTTTTGTTGGTGCATAGAAGGTGTAAAACGTTGAATTAACTGATTTTTGATTTGTTTTTGCTTTTTTTTCCTGTGAAATTTCTTAGGTTAGCTGTTTACTGATAACTGTTTCGTGATGGCATGTATACTATACGTAATATCAAGATTCTGATTATAATACATATAAATATTGATTATACTTTATTAAAATTTTTATTAACAAAGGTAACAGTAATAAGAATCAATTAAATTATTATATTTTAAATGATTGTACTGTACGTTAAAATTTACCAATAAAATAAACATTATACACATCAAATTTTATCTAAAATTTTAGATAACAAAAATTTAATAATTCTTAACAAATCTTTTATTTTGATAAATGTTGGCAACTGATATAATTAGATCATATATTTAATTTCTTGATTTTTATGTTATGAAATTTTTAAACAGACCTAGTCGGCCGACCAGCTTTTTTTTTTTAAATTTTCATATATAAAAAAATTTTATAACTTTTTTAAAAGCCCATCCAGTTATTAAATTTTTTTAAAAGTTTTCGAATTTTCACCCGGCCAGGTTATGAAAATCAATTGAAATTTTTTTTTATTTAAATTCTTACGCACGTATAAATTTATAAATTTCAAAAAAAAAAAAAAAAAATTTGGATAAAATATCGATATAACATAAATGATACCTACCTTAAATTAATTGATTATTTATTAAGGTGTCATCTATACTATGTTTTATCCCAAAATTTTACGTATTGAATTTGATTGCTAAAAAGGTATTTTGATAACACCTAACGCTAATTAAATTTGATAAATTTGATAAATTCTATATATTCATGGAATCCAAATACGTAAGTAAAATAATATTAATCGAATTTGGATGTTTTTATAAATTGTGAAGTGACAATTTGACTGGTTAGATATTTTATGTTACATATAGAAAGCCACGAACTATTAACTCGGGAGAGCGTACATACTACAGTACTAAAAGTGTAGTTAGCAGTAAATTTAACATGTAAAGATAACGTGTAGAACTAACAATAGACGTACCTGATTTTAAGGATTGCATATAATGATAATGATAAGGAACAATAGTTACTATGTACGGTACATTTTTCCAATCATTTGTTAGACAATTTTTGCAGAATCTTCTAAAGCAAATTTTCTCGAAGCAATAATGCAGAATTCTGCATTAGTTTCAGCCATCACAGATTTCTGAACACTCCGGTTTCCCCTGTGGGCTTTAAACAAACCCTCTTAATTTGGTAGTCCGTTCTTTGTTCCCAAACATCCATCTTTTTCTATTTTAATATATGATTTAATAATTAAGACGAATAGAAATTAAGGCTTAAACAAACCTGAATGTGAATTTCACATAACATTATCCAAATTTGGTTTTGAACAGGATCTCAAAAGCACTAGCGCTAGTCAAATATATATATATATATCAGATGTATCAGATACTGTATATATACATATATATCTCTTTTAAATAATTGTTATTAATAGAAAATTCGTTATCACTATAGTTATTTTTAAGTCACGGAAGGATCTATCGTGTTTATACATAGCAATAGTGATAGATACGTACATGGGGTGTAAAACGAAATACGTAGCGGATAATATTTTTTTCTTGTGTGCAAAAGAATCTTTGATTTAATTTGAAATTATTAAATACAAATATATTTAAAAAGTTAAACATGCATTTATAATACGTACGTACAACTAATCCTCGTTAATACTGTATCAACCTAATATTAACCAATTTCTGTATATTAAAAAATTATATTAAAATTCCCTCATATATATCAACTTTAATATAATTTCTCGTTAATATTACTATCAACAATATAAAAGTGATCCAATTGGATTGATATTAGCGAGGGTCAAAAATCCCAATATCCCAGTAGAGCAATGGCGATGGAATAAAGCAGCTAATATAGTGCCGTAATTAATATTTCGCAAGACTCAATGACGTATTATACGTTACGTTATCGATACGTAGAAGGCACTTACCAAATAATACTAAGAAAATGAATTAAAGAGGTTAAATCTTGAATTTCTACATGAACCAAATAAAATATTAGATACACACATATCATCAGATCGTTCACGATATAATTTTAAGGTTATATTTTTATTAGGCTTTATAAATCTATCAATAAATTCCTTGCAAAAACGTCTTTGTATAAGTTAAATTTACAAAAATATGCTCTAAATAATCCAATTGTTATGTTTTTTTTTAAAAAAAAAGTATATAATATATAAAGATAAATATATAAGTAAAATGCATTATCATTATTCGTTACGTAAACCACAGTAAAATACACCAAAATACACCAAAATATACCAAAAATACCAAAAATACACCTTAGGGTACAATAAGCAAAATATGTTATTTAGAGTATAAATTTACAAAATATATTCTTTATAAATTAAGCCTGCTCTAAAGTGTATGTATAAAAAAAAAAAAATGTAAACATGCAAAAAAAGCTTGCAATTCTATTTTCAAAAAAAAGTATTATAATATACATTTAATAATGTTAAAAAACAAAGGTAATAAATAATTTACAAAATAAAAAAATTATCCTAAAAAAAACTAATTTTTATCATTAAAAATTTTTCATGAATGATTCCGTGGATCCATTAAAAATTGAAGAGCTATAAGATGATCTTCGCTCGTTATATTGTGATTCAGTTTCACTATTTAGTAAAGTTTAGATGAATTGAGAAAATAAATATAAGAATTAGATATTATATCTAATAAATTAGATCATTATATACAGTATATATTTTTTAATGAACCTTACCTAGAATCTTTATATATTAGAAAAAATACAAATAGGATAAAAATAAGCAAAGGTTCATAAACACATAACATACACACATCTATATATATATGACCAACATACCTTTCTGTGCAACACTTTTACATGAACTTGAACAATATTTGGAATATCCTTTAGGAAACCTCTTTTTACAAGGATTCTTTAAACACTGCTGACATATAGGTACTTGTTTTGGAATTTTTGATTGTGAAGATGTGACCTTATCTGATAATATTAATGATTTTCTGTTTGAAAGACCGAATGCAAAACTCTTTGGTCGTTGTCCACTTGTTGGCACACTAGGCAATGGTTTTGATGGATTATATGTGCTAGATCTCCTATTTGTTTTTTCTGAAGATTCATTTGTAAAAGTGTAAGTACGATTACTAGCTAAAGATATTTGAGAAGGTGATGTGGGTAATGAAGCTGCTGTCAGCATTTCTTGACTTGTGGATGAATTTTTATTGGATGAAGAAGAAGAAGATGATGATGATGATGAATGTGGATCCTTGATATGATGTAAATTTGGTGATGTTTGCGGTGACATGTAAACTTTGGAATCTTCTGATGATTCATTCATATGTTCAGACGTTCCGTTTGACGTAGTTGCAAGCGGCTGTGGTGTAAGTAATTTCTGTGGCATGTTTCTTAGTGTCACGGATGGGAAATTATTTTGTGAATATGGAGATCGTATTTCCTCCGAATGTGTAGAACTTCTTGAAATATTCATGTTATTATTATTAGAAGATGATGGTTGTCGAGATCGTTCGAGCTGTGCATAAGTAGGGTAAGTCGAACTTCGAGTAGGTAGGATAGGTGGAAGACAAGAGTTAATATTCTCAACATTCTCAATCTTTTCAGCGGTGGACGAATAATTTTCAACATCCAACTCATGTTTTATTCTTGAAAGTTCTAACATAAGAGTTTCATTTATAGATTTGAATCCATCTCGTTGTTGCATCAGATCATTTGATCCTTTTCGTGATCGTTCAAGTTCGACAGTGAGATCATTTAATAAATCACGAAGACGACCCACTTCTACATGCAATGCCGCATTCTCAGTAGATAATTCATCTTTTCTCTGACGAACATTATCAAATTCTTCATCGATTTGTTGAGATATTGCTTTATTATGTGACACAGTTTCCAATTGTTGCTTTAACATTGTGATTTCAGATATTATCGATTCATTCTGAACCTTGAATTCATCACGTTGATGAACGATATTATTTGAGACAGTTTGCAAGCGTTCAAGCTCAGTCTGTAAACGTTCATTTTCTGTTTGTAAACGTTCCTGTTCAAAAGTAAGATCATGATTTTGACGTTGTAATTCATCATGTTGTTCATTTAATGTATTATATTGTTCTTTCATTCGATTTAATTCTCTTGTTACATCATCGATTAAAGAATCTTTATCCTTTTGTTGATTTATCATTTGATTTAATTCATCTTGAGCTCGTCCTAGTTGAGATATTAGAGTATCATTTTTATTTGATATTTCATCACGATGTTGAATAATACTATCCAATTTAATTTGTAATTGTTCCAATTGAGAAGATAGAGTATTATTATTTTTTGTTAATTCATCTTTTTGCTGACGTGTTACATTTAATTCTGTTTCTAATTGTGACAATTGTGGTGAAAGATCAGAAACTTGATTGAAATAATCATCACGTTCTTTTGTAATATTTTGAACTAAACCAGATAATTCATCACGTTCTTTTGTAATATTTTGAACTAAACCAGATAATTCATCGCGTTCTTTGGTAATATTTTGAACTAAATTAGATAACTCATCGCGTTCTTTTGTAATACTTTGAACTAAATTAGATAATTCATCGCGTTCTTTTGTAATATTTTGAACTAAATTAGATAATTCATCGCGTTCTTTTGTAAGACTTTGAATTAAATTAGATAATTCATCGCGTTCTTTTGTAATATTTTGAACTAAATTAGATAATTCATCGCGTTCTTTTGTAATATTTTGACCTAAACTAGATAATTCATCACATTGATTTTGTAATCTTTTATATTCATCATCAACAATTTGATCGGGATTTGGAGCTGAAGCAGTGTTTTCACGTTGTTTTGTGATAATTGATAGTTCATTTTGTAAATTATTAATATTAGTAGTAAGTTCATCACCATTTTCACGTAAACGATCAACTTCATCAAGTAAATTCTTATTTTCTAACATGATCACATTATTTTGATTTTTAACTTCATTCAATTCAAGTACCAACTTTTCATTATCAGATAACTTGTTTTGCATTTGATTTAAGTATAATTCTAATAATTGATATCTTCCTCTTATATCATCACGTTCTTTGTTTGAATTTATAATCATGGATTGTAATTGACGAATTCCATTATGTAAATTTTCGTTTTGATTTTTTAAAGATTCACATTCTTCAAGATATTGACCAGATTGATTAATTTGATCTTGTAAAGATTTAATTTTAGTTTCCAATCCATGATTTCTATGCTTTAAATCATCTCTTTCCCAGAGGATTGATTTTAATTGATCTGATTGATAACGATTATGAGATTCAAGTTCACGTAATTTATTTGTGAATGTAGTAGGACTTGTGGCAGTAAATAAAGTAGTTGAAGGTTGAGAGGAAAAATTAGTGGACATGGTGGCGGTACCTCCAGTATTATAAGAAGTTACATGATTATAAGGTTCTATATCTATTACAAAGTCACCACAACGTTGGTGAACATTATCATAATTACCACGTTGCATGAAGGAAGCGGTACTATAATGACTAGTGGTTATGGAACGGGCGGGAGGTCTTGGAGGAGTATAGATATCGTGAATATCAGTATCGTAAGTATAAGTATCGTAAGTATCACGGGTTATATTAAAATTAATATTTTTATTGATATTAGGATTATTTTTCGATGGATTGTCTATATAAGGAATGTTTGTATTGATAATACCAGTTTTTAAATCAAGAATCCTTCTATCGCTACTACTAGTCATTGTTTTATTTTTAGTTTTTTTTTATTATTTATTTTGTTAAGGTCCACTTCATGCGGAAAACACTCAAAAATTCTTTGAAATGTTTATATGCGAGTTTATATGCGAAAGTGTAAATATATGTGCGCGAGAACCTGTAAATTTTTTAGGATGGAGGTTTAAAATGGGTGGTTAAGATGGGATGGGATGGATAAAAAAAAAATAGATTTAAAAGATAGATATATTTGAAGGAAAGACCAAATTTATAAAGGCATCTTGGGACCAAACCAAAAAGAGAGATATAAAAGTCCCGGTAAAAAAACTCGTTTTTTCTTGCAGGGTTTTTGTAAAAATAAATAAATAGTAATAATGATAAAGATAATAGTACAGAATTCGATTTTTGGTAAAGACCGGAATAGCGGGTAACATTTGAGAACAAAATATACATACAAAGTAACATCATTATATATCATTATATGTTGCTCTGTTTACCCATTCATCATGTTGCATATATATTTATAACCACCAAATAAAAATACATTAAACCAATGAAAAGATTCTCGAGACGCATGGATTTTTCAATTATAAAACAAGATGATTATCATCTAATACATCTAATACCTGACAACTAGTATAACAATAAAGGTAAAGAATTCCACATATGATAGTAAATCGAATGAAACAAAGTTGTTAATTTCAACAGTACTTCAGTTTAAAAACGAAACTTGCATGGTTTTTTCACATTATCAGCGCGTTCAAAAAAGGAGCAATTCATGTTTCAAAAAAAGTTGTACAATGTATTACGGATAAGTATAACTTGTCATATGTATTACAATATTATTACCTATTCTATTCATCTATTCAATCTACATATACAATCTATTATCGTTATACGTATTCACTCTATTTCATTGTAACAAATTTTATTATTATTATTTGTACAAACAATGACATAACGATAACGGGTGTTATAAAGAAAAACGTTTAATCAAAATATACTAAAAAATTTCCCGTAACTAAATTCTTGTAACTTTTTCACTTTTTAAACTTTTTTTTAACATTTATTTAAATCTGCACATCTTTTGTAAAACATGTAACGTTTAATATGAACGAGAGGATCATCTTAACAATGGATGAAAATTCCTTTCACTCTAAAGACTTAAAGTTAATGCTGATTGTCATCGCATTTTCATTTGAATATCCTATTTATTCTAACTTAAGTGACTCAATTCACCTAAAAGATAATAAAAGATGATGAATGGTCTTGGAATAATTCATTCAATCTTATTACAAATTGACAGTTCTGCCTTATCATACGTAGTGATCAGTGTTGGGCAAATCAGTGGTCAAGCAAAAATTTGCTGGTCAAATTGGTCAAGTTATTTATATAAATATAATATATTTATTATATAATAAATTATATTCAAAATGCTATTTGACCGATTTGACCAGTAAAAATTCTTTGACCAGACCGGTCAAATGGTCAAATTGGTCTGGTCAAATGGTCAAACTGGTCTGGTCAGCCCAACACTGGTAGTGATATATAATTTATATATATGTACGCATAACCTTGAATTTACTATATTCGGCAGCTCATTAATTGAATATGTAACACTACATAGTGTTTTTTGATCACATTCCCAGTGAACAAAAAAAATTAACACTGAATCGTACCATTTAGTATTATACTAAAGTACTCAACTTTATGTATTTAACCCAAAATTAGATTGAATAGAGTGGACAAGAGGTTTTCTAATTAATTAATGCAATTGTTTTAGTTGATATATGCGAGGGTTGGTAATAGCGGAATAGTTTTTATATAACCTGAGCCTATTTTTTTTTAATAAGAAGTTGATATTAACGGGGGTAATCTGTATTTATACAATGATTCAACAAATATATGTGACAGTTAAAGCGAATTGTTAATAAAAGAGTATGTGTGATTTTAATGAGTGTGACTTTAACGAGTATTATCAGTTATAGAAACCTCCAAATTTTACGTATACGTATCGGTATTGGATTTTTGCAGTTAGATCAAGCAACCTCACACAAAGATTGAAATTCAATTAAATTATGTATTTGGATTATACATTAGTAAATATATACGTTCATTTATGCATGTATAAATTCTGTATTGGGAGATAAGGATATACGTATGAGTGCGTGAGAGTGAAAACCTGGAAACACATTTAATGATTTACTATGATTGGTTACAGGTTTTCACTCTCATGCACTCATATATTTTGTCATGGCTCAAATAAAGTGTATATTAAAGTTTTTCTTCGTTTTACAAAAGCAATAATAACATTATTGTTCCGAAAACATAAGGTATCAACTACGGATTAGTATAATAGGTTTAATAATCATTACGTACATATAACGGTCACATATTACTCAAACAGAAGTCGATGAAAATACATGTTTAAAAATTTAGTTTAAAACCTTAATTCTAATTATAGCGATAGGTACAGATATTTGAAGAAGTTACCTTTTTACCGTAGGGTTTAATAAATACATAAAGAGTATATATGAGTATATACCAAGGTTCTTATAACACCCTGATAGTTTTTACGTATTTTATGTGTGTTATTTATAACTTGTTTGTTTTATAATTATATAAAAGAGATAAAAGTGATATAAAGATAATTTTAATGTAATCTAAATTAAATTATACTACGTAGTAAATAGGGCAAGTCCAAATGAGATTTAAAAACTTTGTAAATTTTTATTACTGATTTATCTACAAAGCTCTTTTAGATTATAGTTTCGCGAATCATTTAGATCCAGATGAATTCATATCGATATGATTGGTGTGTATTATTTAATAACAGAATAGTTATCTAGATTCTAAAAATACTGCAATGTTGTTATTTGAGGTTAGTTAAAAACGACAATTTTATACCCAACCATTTTGCTATAGAAATGAAGCTAGAGAACAACCAAAAAAATTTAAATAACTGAAATTCCAGGTTTAAAAATGATGCAATGGATAGGGTTTAATATGAATTAGTAGGAGCCGTTTTGACTATTTAATGTAAATCTTATTAAAATGGTAAATTCTATATATTAAAACTTGCGAACCTGATTTATTACATATATTGCAATTTTTTGTACATATAATTTTCTTTAAACTATGCTTAGATAAGTTAGAGTCTAATATTATAGCAAGTTGCATAAAATTTTAAGAATAAATTTGTATCAAAGGTTTAAACAATCACTAAATTTACTGCATTTACAATAATGGATTTTTTTTTATGATTATAAATATTTGAAAAAAAATATAAATTTACAACAAAAAAATAAATATATATACGTATAATAAATACATATAACAAAATTATAACTAATAATTTTTTTGCATTAATAACAAAGTTATAAATAATAAAATTTTTGTTTTTAAGTAAAGTTTATTAAAGTTAATAAATATTTTTAATTATTTCTATAGTGAATATTAAAATATATAATATTGTATATTTTTAAAAAAATAATTTAATATTTTTTATATATAGACAATTAATTTTTTTAATAATTACTTAAACTATAGTTTAGAACTTAAATAAACTTTTTTATATTTATTAAAAACAATAAAGCAGGTGTTTTAGTTAAAAATATATAAAATCAAAAATAAAATAAATAGTTAGAATACACAATATAATTCTATTAGATGCTACAATAATTCTTTTTGCTAATCATCAAAACACAGAACTTACAGAAAGCAAAATCTAAATTTATATAAAAATAATTGTCAAAATTATATTTAAAGGCTTAAATAAATAGAAAAAACACTTAAAATAAACTTAGTGAATATAGTACAAAAAAATTAAGTTTTACAACAAAAAAAAAGAATAACTTTTATAAACAAAGTTTAAAAACCAAATTTTAAAAAAACAGTTTAGATCTAAAATTGTAAATTTGTTTAAAATATATAAGTATATAAAAAACAAACAAAACAAATATATAAATATATAAGTATTACAGTATATATATAAGCATAGAAATATTAAAAAAAGTAAAACAAAATATAACTGATATGATAATATAAACAAAAGTAAAAAAATTAATAACATTAAAGCTAATAAAAAAAGAATAAAAATAAAGTTAAGTTATATAAATAACAAAAAGTTAAGTTATATAAATAGCAAAAATTTAAAGCAAAAACTAGTAAATAAAAATAATTATTTCAATATTAAAAACATATTAGCAGTAATATTATAAAAAACAAATTTTAAAAAAATAATATTAAAGAAAAATATATAAAGCAATAATTAGAATAGATAAAAAAAATTTAATTAAAGAAGTATAGTAATAACTAACTCAATAAAATTCAATAAAGTTTTATTACAAAGTATAGCCTTTAATACAAAAAAAAATTAATAATTAGTAAGATAATTAATTTTTTATGAATATTATTTTTTTGTCAAATTTATTTTTTTTTTAGCATCAAGCCTATATATCTTTTAAAATGTATTTTTTTTTAAAATGAATTAAATAGTAATAATTATTATTACTATTAATTGTTTTTCTTATATTATTTGAAGTTCTAATTGAAACATTACTTAAATTTACATTATTCAAATTATTTCTTAATACTAAATATAAATAATATGATCTTTTTGAAAAAGATAGTTAATAAACATTTGTTATTTTATAAACTTTAACTAAATCAGTTATAATTATTGAAATTTAAGAAATGAAAATAACTATATTATTATAAACAATAAAGTGAAGCTCTGACCCTTTTCTATAAACTAAAAAACAATTTTTATATATTTCTAAAAAACTTC